TTTCTTCCTCCTGTCACACGTCCCTAGGAGGAGCCCAGCTCTGACCTTCTCCTGCTGCATGTGAGCAGCAGGACGGCCCACTGGTGTCCTGCACACTCATCATAACAGGCCGCAAAGGGGCTCTCAGCAAGGCCTGGAAACGTCCCTCTGTTTTCCCAGACAGGGTGCCTTTCCCTTGTCCTGGTGACCATTTAATTCCTTATCTGCTATTGTGAAACCTCCTACCACACTGGAGCACCTGAGAGACAGTAAGTTCTGTATACTACAGGGTATAAGCGTGTACAGCCAGGCTTGAATCCTGGAACATCTCTTCAATAGCTGCGTGGCCTTGGGCAAAATACTTAACCTCTCTGTGTCTCAATCTCATCATCTGTGAAAAATGGAGAGGATGATAATTGTGTCTATTGTACAGGGTTGTAGTGAAGATTAAATAAGCACAAAATGCTCAGAGCAGTGTAGTAAGCCGGTAAATACCACAGTTAGTTCTTACTTCAGCAGCCAAAGCAGCAGGAGATGATTGTGGCTTAAGACAGAGTCTCACTATGTCGGCCTTGGTAGAGTGCTGGGGTGTCACAGCTCACAGCAACCTCAGACTCTTAGGCTTAGCGATTCTCTTGTTGCAGCCTCCCAAGTAGCTGGGACCACACGTGCCCACCACAACTCCCAGCTATTTTTTTGTTGCAGTTGTTTAGCTGGCCGGGACTGGGTTCAAACCTGCCACCCTCAGTGTATGTGGCTGGTGTAACCACTGTGCTATGGGCACTGAGCCTGTGGCTTGGGTTTTGATGACAGCACTACATGGACTCAGGACCCCCCTCCCCCCCAAGCAGGGGTGGGCTGGGAAGCCTGGGAGAGGGGAGGAGCCTCAGAGCTGTGGGTGAGGTAGCCTGGGGACTAGAGGTCAGGACGCAGGAGCAAATTTGGGAAGTCTAGGGCATGAGTGTACTGAGCTGGTGCAGGGCATGTAACATAACTGCTCGATTCTGAACCTGTGGCCAGTGGAAGCTGCCTTGTCAGCCACCTCTGTGAGCAGTAGGGCAGACCAGCAGGGACTCCAGAGTAGAAGGAGGTGAGGCAGGATGAGTTCTGCCGGGAAGAAGGACGGCAACTGGCAGGTGCTGGAGGGGCCCCAGGGCAGCTTCAGTTTGTAAGATGGGAGAGCCGGGAGAAAGGAGGCTGGTGCATGCAGGGGTGTCTGACAGGAGCTCAGAGGCTGCAATCCAGAGAGTGTTTGGGGGCTGGTGGCTGGGGACTGTGGGGGACGGGGACCTCTGACCAGGTGCCAGAGCAGAGGTGGACACAGGGCAGTGTAGAAAGTGCAGGGATTTGACCTACGAATTTGGTTCAAGGCAGCCAAGGCACCGTCCGGAGCTGGGTGCCTCTGTTTCCGTGTGTCTATGTCTGTGTGAGTGTGTGGGTGCAGGCCTGTCTGTGTGTCTCTGTGCACTGGACCTGTGTTGTGTACCAGTGTCTGGTGTGCGTTTGTGAAGATGGCTGTGTGCCCGTGTGTACAGGCATGCGTGTGTCTGCCCCTGTGAGTATCTTCGGTCAGAGAAGGCCTGACATCACCTTCATGGAGAGTAGCAGACAAACACCACAAGTTGTGTGTTAGACCACTGGGAGGAGCAAGGGGCTTTGGAGGTGTTTGGGGGCTTGGAATTAGGACAGATGGGTCCCCTGGAACTGGTTGGTTTGGAGGGTGACCTACAGGGTCTGCCTGGAGACAACATCTGGAAAGGCAGGACCCGCATGACCCCACGGTTGGGAAGGAGGAAAGACAGAACAGCAGGGGAGGGGTGGGAGTGCGGACGCCTTCAGGGCTGGTGGACGCACCGCCCACCGGGAGCCGCGCAGCCAGGGCGTTGCTGCCATCTTGTGGCCGAGCCGGGGATAGCCGGGCCTCTGCTCAGGAGTGAGGACGTGGCCCCATCTGGTGGCCGAGGCCGGTCTCTGCGCCTGTGGACCCCCCCCCGCGCCCACCTCCCCAGCTCCGTGCACCCGCAGGCCCTAATTCCCTCTGCTGCCCTTGTGAGACCCCTGTGCAAAGGTTCTCTCTGGATAGTGGGAAAGTCAGGTCACAGCACAGACTTACCCCAGCTAGGACAGTAGGAAGAGCCGGAGCTCAGGGAGCTCATACCCTCCCCAAGCTTGGGCCAGCAGAGCAGCCAGGATTGGCACTATGTCCCCTCTCCATACATAGGGGGTGGCTCCCCAGGGTCCCTCAGCACCTGCTTATTCTTCACTGAACTGTCATTGTACCCATCAGCACAGGGCCCTGGAGATGGGGCAGTGTTATTTGAGCCCAGACTACTCTTCAATCCCCACCCCCCCTTGCCCATTCCTGGGCCCCGTGGGTTAGCGCTGAGTTCCCTATGCCCAGCTCTGGGTCCTCCTGCACGTATGGAGGGATGAGGGGCACCAGAGGACATTCCATTGATTGGCCATGGGTGCTTCCTGGCTAGAAAAGGGCTGAGAAGAGAAGGGGTCAGTGAGGTGAGGCCACCTCCAGGCCTGCACAGGTCCCCTCTTCCACCAAGCGGCTTCCCCCCTGGGATAAAACGGCAAACAGGCCCTGTGGCTGGGGGGAAGTGCTGGAGGGCAGTCCTTCCATCCACTGCCTGCCTGACTCTGTCGGGGCCCCCTTAGATAGGCCGTGAGGAGTATCAAGCCCTGTGGAGACAGCCAGCACTTCTTAGCGGCCAGAGCCACCTGACTCTTATACCTTAAATCCCATCTCCCCAGAAGACTCAAGGTTTTCTTGATTTACAGGCCCCAGAGAAACCCTAGGATGCATGATGTCTGGTCTCTTCACCACTCAGGGCACAGCGTTGTCACCTGGAGAAGTCTTAGCCATTCTAGGGCAAAGGCCTGGCAGGGGCCTCCCCGGGGGCTGCACCAGAGAGACCCTGTTTGAGGGACCTAGGCGGGGGAGGGCACTGGGGCTTAGGTGGCTATCTGCCCAACTTGATGTGCCTACTTGATCCCTGGGAGCTGCCTGTGGCCTTTTCTTGGGTCCCTGATTAAACGTCACCCCTCCCCTCCCCCAACTATACTGGGGAAGGGGTGAGCAGATGGGCTGGGTAGGGGGAAGAGGTAGGAGAAGGGTCAGCACAAGGTGTTCCAGAGAGGGGAGGCCTGTTCACCCCTCCCCCACATAGATATAGTCTCACACCCACCCCAGCCCCACACATAACTCAGGTGCTCTCACCCACCCACACCCACACACCCTTGTCCATGTGAGGCCTGGCTAGGGTTAGGGACTGGAGCCGGGTCCAGCAACACCCCAGTGACTTCAGGATGGGGTCCCAGGGCTGGGCCTCTGGGCCATGACCTCAGCTGGAGGTGTGCTACAGCCATCAGGTGGTGGTCCTGGTCACTGCCCAGACACTGTGTCTCCTGTCATCACCACCAGGAAAGATAGCCCTTTAGTGGATATATTGTGAGTGCACATCTGCCCGGGTGTGCAGGCCTGGGTGTCTCTGGGAGGTGACACCAGGAAGATGTCTTCTACACACTCACACACGCTCCGACATGGGGGGCAGGGCAGTCCCCACAGTCTCTAAGCTGCCACAGCAGGGGTAAAGCTGTCCTGTGGGCTGCTCCAGCTGGACATCCAGGTGTCACCTTGCTGAACAGATGACATGGTAACGCTCTGCCTGAGGCTTCATCAAATGCATCCGTGACGAGGGATACTTTACTGTGTTGTGAATTCAGCCTCACGTTCTGGGCACCAGAGCCCGGGGTCAGCTACTTCTGGGTCATCATCAGCCAGGCCCCTCCCTGCCTCCTGTCTCACTGACCCTGGTCAGGTCAGCCGCTCTGCCTTCCTGAGCCACCTGGCATCTGACTTCCCACCTTCTGTGAGTCCCCAGAGTCCCTCAGACCCTGACAGAAGCTTCCTCCCAGCTCATGTGTCAAATGGCCCAGGACACTTGTAGCTGGAATCCAAGGGGAGGGCTCACCCTACCCAGGGTCAGGATGGATGTGACTCCATGGAGGCAGGAGGCAGCCCCAGTGCCTTGCTCCCCCTTCACAAGGTCCGCAGCCTAAGGTGGGGGCAGAAAAGGAGATGGAGTGGCCCCAGGGCCCAGCAGCGCCTCCCCAGCAAGTGAGAGCCATCTCCTGGGGTGGGGGGCCTGTGGAGAGACTCCACAGGGCAAGCAACACAGGCTGACACGGGTGACAGAGAAAGGGCAGAGACCCCACAGACAGGCAGCACTTCTCCTCAGAAGCCACACCCAAACCCAGCCACAGCCACACACCCTCTCCAAGCTCCACAAACACTTCCTCAGCAACCTTGCCAGAATCGCCCTGGCTTTTGACAATTCCAGAAGCGTGTATGGTGTGTAAATGTTGCTTTTGGAGGTGGTTTCTTCTACAGCTTCTCCTCCTAGGCAGGTGATCCTGGCAGCCCTGAGGTGGCTTTGACAGGGGAATGGGGCCAGGGATGAGGCTGAGGGTCCGAGAGTGACAGCTTTAGGCCAAAGCCCTGAAGAGCCCAGGGGTGCCAAAAACTGGGGATGGCTTCACTCCCCATTGGGAGCCATACCCACTAATGCCTGCACATGGCGACTTGGGCTCCAAGTATTCAGAGCTCCCTCCTTCCCCCTACAAGGTGCACTGGCCAGAAGGGACCTCAACAGGCCTCTACGGGGACAGGTGTCTCCTCTCCTTTTGGGATGAATTTGCAGATACTAAGACCAGAGGGTCTGGCAGCCAGAAGAGCCCCTGCAGGCCCGAGTGGAGGAGTCTCTGGGCCCTCGGTCCCCTCCCACAGGGCGGCTCTGGCCCTGGGCTTCCCGGCAGCCTCACCTGCTGGAGCTGCTCAGGCTGTCCCAGGGAGGGCAGAAGACTCCAGAAAGGATGGGAGCCGGGACCCACAGGTTCCTTCCCCCCCACAGAGTAGACACTGCCACTCAGGAAACCATGTGCTTTATTTGTAACCTCCATCCAGGGGAACATCCCCTGGGTCATAGAAAAGCTGCAAACCATGTGGTTTGTACAAGGCAATAGCTAAGGGACCGCAGGAAATCCCTTCCCGCTGGGGCCTCGTCCTCGGGCCTCAGCCTTCCCTGGTCACCGGAACTCCTGGCTGAGCTCCTGGGGGTCAGTCTGCATCTCCATCAGCCAAGGAGGAGAAAGTGGGAACACGACAAGGGCCAGGGTCCCCACCTAGGGCCTGGCGCATCCCACAGCCACCCCGGCACTACATCTCAGGTGGGGACACGGCCACATGGAGAGCCGGGAGCGCCCCGCACACCGGCCGCGCCAGCTGGTGCCGCCCTTCAGTACAGGTCTGCAAAGGGCTTGGAGTAGTTGAAGGTCAGGTAGTCCATGTAGTAGAAGTCGTAGGTGCGCTGCCGCTGCAGGGCCGAGAGCTGGGCGAAGTACTGGTGTGTGATCCTCGCCGTCGTCCGCGCCTCCTCGGAGTGCCGGTCCTTGAACCTGGGGAAGGTCAGGTTCCCGGGTGCGTGGATGAGGCTCAGGAAGAAGTTGGCATCGTCCTCCATGCTCTCGAACTTGCCCACAAAGTCGTAGTCGATGAGGCAGGGGCTGCAGAGCCGGCTGACGTGGTCCCAGTGGATGTCCATGCCCACCGGCCGGTGCACGTCCAGCAGGTACTGCACGAACTCAGGGAAGCGCACCCCGGAGCCTGTCCGCAGCGCCTCCCGAGAGGCGTTGACCCGGTACCGGGCCAGGATGGCCTTGCCGAAGACCGGGTGGTAGTAGCTGTTGGGGTGCTCGAACTTGTCGCGGAAGGCGGACACCAGCCTCTCGAAGGGCTCGCGGACAAAGAGCATCTTGGTGTAGGTGCTGAGCCGGTGCAGGATGCCCTGGCGGTCGAAGGTGTCCAGGCGTCTGAGGGCGCTGCCATAGTGCACCGTGTTGTGCTGGATGTCGGCGGTGGACGACGCCAGCCCCGCCAGCACCATGAGCACCCGCTTCCAGTTGGAGCAGCCCGCCTTGGGCACCTCGCAGTATAGGACACGGTGGCGGTCCTCCACGAAGATGCGGGACACGTGGCGTGGCGTGACGGCCCGACGGCTGCTGCTCGCCCGGTACTTGGCACAGGCCTCCTGCATCACCCGCTTGCGCTCCCGCTGGCTCTGCTGCAGGCTGACCCAGCGGCCGTCCAGGGCCCGCGGGCCCGGCCGCGCAAAGGGCCGTCCAGGGCTCGCGGGCCCGGCCGAGCTGTTGGCTAGGGCCGCCGCTGGCATTTTCTTGATGAGCAGCCGGCGGCGGCGCTGCCGGAGCCGCAGATGGGACCCCCTCTTAAGATGGGGTTCATGCTGCTCAGGCACCAGCCGGTCGGGGCCTTTTGGGGTCCCGCTGGACAAGTCTTGGGTGACCCTCTCTATGGATACCTTCAAGTCACCATCCTGAGAACTGCCTTGTGGGAGGTCCTGTGGGCCAGAAGAGAAGTGGTTACTGGGATGGGACAGGTCAGGGGGCCACCGAGAGTCACCGAGGCCAAGCCCTCACTGGGCTGGGGTTCCTGCTCCCTCTGTGGCCTGGGTTTGTCCCGTGTGAGAGAGGCAGGCTGACTCTGCAGGTGTGACCCCTCTGAACCCTGGCCCAGCCCGCAAAGGCCTCCCTTCCCTCTGGGGGCCACGACCAGCCACAAATAGCGCAGGACCTGAGGCGCCAGTGTCATCTCGGCCACAAGATGGCGCAGTCTGCTCAGGAACCTGCGCTTGAGGACGGGCGGTGGGAGCCGGTGGCCTGAGGGAGGCAGGCTCGGATTTACTGCGTCTATTACCCGGGTCCAAAGCAGCCGTCTAACGGCAGAGGGAAATTCATGAACCCAAAGCCCTGGGCTTTGTTCCCAAGGCGCCTGGGAAAGACTGGACACATTTTTCTTTCCAAGAATGGATTCACTGTGAGCTCCAAATTTTCTTCCCTGCCCACCCCAACTCCCTCGGGCCGCCTGTTGAGATTTATCCCACTCTCAGAACTTACCTCGTGGGCCTGCTGCGGCCTGATGCTGAACTTTATTCCTGAAAAGCAAACAGAGGAGAGGACTGGATTAGGCGTGAAGTACCACGTGGCTCCCAGGGGCCTGTTATGGACTCTTGGCTGTGGATTCCCAGGCTGCAGGGAGCCTGGGGCCAGCTCTGGGCAAAGGCAGTTCTGGCCGTAGGGGTGGGGGTGGGGAGACGGCTCGTTCTTGGAGCTCCTCCATCCTCTGCCTCTCAGAAAATGGGGGTGTAGCAATGATGCTGCCCCACTGCTCCCAGCTGACACTCACTCCTCTGTATCACACCCCCTGATAGAGACTGCAAGGTCTGGGCAGGCAACCTGCCCAGGTGTGCCCAGGGGTCTCACGGGCTACCTGCCACCTCACCACACTAAGTTATAGGGAAAGGACCATTCAGAAAGCTCTACCCGTCTTCCACACCCTATCAGCCATGCCTTGGGTGCTCTGTACTCAAAAATAACACATTCACACACCTTTGCACACACAGACTGGGGGATGGCATTCCCTACCCTGGGCACTTGCCTTGTGATTTTGGCCTTCTAGCTGCCCATGTCTGGCTCACCATGGTCTCCAAAAGGCTGAGCCAGGTCGTGACTTTCCCATAAGCACTAACTGCCAACTCAGGGAAGCTGGGGATCAATGCACCATTGGCCAGGCTCCAGAGTGGCCCCCTCTGCCCACCAGGGCAGACGCTCACCTGGGCTGAGCCAAGGTCACCCAGGATTACAAGTTCTGGGCAGGCAAACCTTTGGCCCGAGGAGAGGATTCTGCTTCACACTCTATTTGGTCTGTTTTGGGAGAAGGACCTGTAAGAACATGGACAGTTCCCGCTGAGGGAATTTATTTAGAAGTCCGGGCATCCTTCCCCATTCCCTGCCCGGCCACTGAGGTGTCAGTGGCTCTTTCTCCTCCTATGCCAACTGGGTGGACATTTTTGCTCTGAGGCTTTGCCAAAAACAAGTCATCAGAACCAGCCAGCCCTTAGACAAGCAAAGCTAGAACCTCCAGCTGGCACATTGGGGCACTGCGTCCAACCACACTAGACCAAGTCCCAGCTGCTTCCTGGGGAAGGGGGTGGTACTAGTGGCCTTCCATATCTGTGTACTTGACAGAGATTCAGTGGCTGGAAGCCCAGATGGTGAGGGGACATAAGTCTTCCCTGACCCTGCAGATTTCTCTCTGGGGCCCATTTTTATAGGGTCAGCCAGTGCTGTGACCTGACAGTTCGAGGCTGTGCCTCCATAGTCTCCTTCATCCATTAGCAAGGGAGGAGGGGGACGCATGGTCACTCCTGGGCTGATAAGCCTCAATTCCCTGAGCTTGCTGGAACCTTCCTCAAGTCCCAAAAGAGGTAGAGACCAAGACAGAACTTGAACACACCAGCCCTTTTGTGCACTCCTCCCTCTGGGCTGAGAACAAAGGTTCATCCTTTCCTGAGCAAAGGGCAGAGCGTCCCCACCTTCCTGGGTATTCTCAAGCTTATGTGTGTGTGCACAGGTGGAGGAGCTCTGAAACAGGCCTCTAGACTCCTCCTTGAAGGCTGAGGGGAGCTGTGCATAGCGCCGGCTGCATCCCTCCATATATATCTCCTGTTGGTTTCATTTCTCTCGCACACCTCCGAATCCAGTAATCTCCCCTGTGGTACGGGGTGTGGACAGTGGATGGTGGGCTTGAGAGGAGCCTTTTAGAATCAAGCCCCTCGCAGAGCCCCCTCTCGGTCCTGGGCCTACTTACTTCCCTCTTTGTAGCCACCCCCTCCTCGTCCTCACCCGTCTGCACCACGGCCACCTCATTTCCCTCTGGCTTGTAGGGGATTCTCTCCCTCTGCCAACGATGACAGATCCCTTCACCAGAAGGGACCCGCCGGACCACTCGGTTCCCCTCTGCATGGCCCGGTCTCCTTAATTATTTTCTTCTGGCGATGGCAGCTGGCTCTGCTAAATCACCTCTCCTCCTCAGTCTCAGATACAGGAATTTACTCTGCTTGTCACTCCTGTCAACTCGTCAAGGTGTGATGGTGCTTATTTATATCCCTTTTCTGGAGCAAATGAGTCGTGCCAGCTTCGACCCAGAGCCGGGCTGAGGGGCCACTTCCAGAAAGCACCTGTTGGACAGTGAGGTCGGAAGAGCATGTGCTCGTGGGGGAGGCTGCAGTCCCTGAGGCTGTGACCTCGCAGTGGCACTGCTCCCACACACTGGGCAGGCGGTGGGCTGTGGGTCTACAGACTGGACAGAGGGGGCTCTGACTCTTGGACTCTAGACTCTGAGCCTAAAGTAGTCCCCCAGGTCGGCCTGTCTAAGGCCGGCCAGGCTAGAGCCCTTGGACTACAAGAAAAGTTGCTGCTGGACAGGGCTTGGCCAGCCTGGCTGGGATCGCCCCCTTTGAAGGAAAAACTGTTTTGTGGACAGTAAGAGATCCAGTAATGGATCACAGCAGCACATCTTATGTGGAGCCTGTGGGCTTGGTGCAGGCTGTATGTTCCTGACCCTTAATCTCAGGCAGCTTATTGGACACAGAATAACCCCAACCCCATGAGGCCATTTTTGAATAAAGAGAGGTAATGAAGGACAAATAAAGGGCTGTCCCCCTTGCCAAGAGTCCAGTATCCCTACTTTGTCCATGGAGACAGCTCCCCTTCCTTGCACTGCTTGGATAATGCCAGAAACAAAGTCCATCCCAGAGGTGGGCAAGGGAAAGTGGGGACCCTTGGGTCTCCTGGGGCTGGGGTCTGCTCATCCCCGGGTGGGCTGCACTTCAGGACCCTGGGCAGCCATAGGGAGGGGCAACTAAGGGCCCAGGAGGAAGTCCCCCCCAGTCCCTAGCACCAGTGCTATGGCCAGGCTTATGGGGGGTTGGGGGCTTTGGCCTCAGTATAACCACCATCAGGCACTCCCAGGCTCCTCAGTAAATGGTTCATCTAGATAAAATCAGTGACCTTGCTTAGCAACATGAGTCTCAGCGCCCAGCCTCCTCTCCCACCCAATGCTACCGTGCTGCCAAGCACACCTCCCCACCCCCACAACAGGAGACTCCAAGGCCAGCCACTCACATTCTGTTTCAGTATCTGAGTTACCCGTCCCCTCCCCTCCTCTCCACGTTGCGTTAACAGTCTGTAAGACAGCTCCATCCCCCCGCACAGTAAGAAATAAACAACCACTTTCTCTTTCTGGACAGATGACATTCGCAGAGAGGCTGAAACACATGTGCTACGATAAGCGTGAGCATCGGGGAGAGGGAACGAGGCGTGAGTTATTGGGACTGCCAGACACGCTCTGCGGTGTGAACTCTTCATTGGCTGAAGGTTTTCTTCTTGGCATTTGGCTGAAAAGCTTTCTGGTTACTGACAAAGGCTGATGAGAGTGTGCAAGGCCAGTTTCATAGTAATCAGGCTGTGTGGCCTGGGGAGGGGCCAGTGTGTGGGCAGTTCACTCCTCTCCAGAGGCACAGGAGAGAGACTGGCCAGCTGTCACTGATGCCCAGGACCCACTTGGGGTAGCGATTTGGGACAGCCTTTCCATCAGGCCCTTAATTTAATTTATCTATTTGAGACAGCATCTCATTACGTCACCGTCGGTAGAGTGCCATGGCATTATAAGTCACAGCAACCTCAAACTTTTGGGCTTAGGCGATTCTCTTGCCTCAGCCTCCCAAGTAGCTGGGACTACAGGGGCCTGCCACAATGCCCAGTTGTTTTTTGTTGTAGTTATCATTGTTGTTTGGCAGGCTCAAACTTGCCAGCCTTGGTGCATGTGGCTGGTGCCGTAACCACTGTGCTATGGGCGCCAAGCTGGTCAGGCCCTTTAGACAGGCCACATGGACGTGGGTAGGGGTGTAACTGCCTCATGAGTCCCTGACCTTCTCAGCTCCAGGTCACTCATGCCTAGGAAGGTGACAGCTTATCTGGCTGCTACAGTCCCAGCCCTGGCCCTGATGGGCACAGGTGAGAGGGTCCTGTCACTCTGAACACTGCAGCTGGGGGAGACAGTGCTACCCTGAAAGAGTCAAATCCAGAGGGACAGGCACTGGAGAACTATGGGGGCCAGGAGAGGCCATGGGGTGTGTGCCAGTCCCAAGTGCCTGTCTTGTGTGGAGTTTGACTTGTGGTCCTTAGAGCTCTCGGGTTTCCTGATGGAGTTGTGTCCTTGGCCACCTTTGTACCTGCTGGGCCTTCGTGGTGGCTGAGCCGTGTGGTCATCCCACATCCATCAGTGATATATACTCACTTACGCTGCCCAGCTGGCCAGGGAGCTCCAAGGGTGTGGCCCCGACTGCATCTTTTTTTTTTTTCCTTTTGAGACTGAGTCTCACTCTGGCACCCCGACTAGAGTGCCATGGCATTACTGCTCATAGCAACTTTAAGTTCTTGGGCTCAAGCAATCTTCTTGCCTGTGGACTCCCTACAGAGGCATCAGGTGGGGTCAAGCACTGCTGTCCCAAGCAGCAGAAGGATGCAGGTTCCGCCTCCCAGTCAGAAAGAGGCAGACCTAATGTGTGCACGAGAAGGGCCTCCAGTTACAGCCCTACACGCCAGTCAGTGCCAAGCCACAGGTGGCCTGCCTCAGTGCAGTGCTGGTGGGGGAGAAGGCGGCCAGGTGAGTGAGCTGCCCACTGGGGCCAGCGGAGAAAACCCCGAGGGAACTGCCAGGCTCCGTCCCAAGGGAAGTAGGGGAGGTTTCTGAATTAGGACATGTTCAAGAGAAATAGAACCAACAGGAGATATATATGGAGGGGTGGGTAGGGGGAGAGGCAGAGGAGAGATGAGAGAGAGAGGAGAGAGAGATTTATTTTAAGGGGTTGGCTCTCACAATTATGGGGGCCGGCAATCTAAAATCTGCCCGGGGAAGGACTGATGTTGCAGTCTGAGCTGGAAGGCTGTCTCTGAGCACAATGCCCTCTTCTTGGGGGAAACTTGGTCTTTTCATTAAAGCCTTGAACTGATTGGATGAGGCCCACCCACCCTCTCAATGTCTTCATGACAACATCTAGACTGTTGTTTGGCTGGACAGCTGGACACCATCGCCCGGCCAAGTTGATACATACGA